TGCGCTTGTCCTTGTTGAACTTCATGAGGTTGGCATTGGCCCATCTCTCCAGCCTGTCCAGGTCCCTCTGGATCCCATCCCTTCCCTCCAGCATGTCGACCACACCACACAGCTTGGTGTCGTCGGTGAACTTGCTGAGGGTGCACTCAATCCCTCTGTCCATGTCGCTGACAAAGATGTTAACAGTTTCAGCAGTGGGAGGATATTTTATGTCAAATTATTTTTTCTTCAAGCCATCTCTGTGAACATACAGGAAACTTTCATATACTTGCAATTCACAAGACATGTTACACATCCTCTGAGAGCTTTGGCCGTTCTTGCCAGCTGGCTTCCTCTAGCACCTGGGGTTTGGTCACCCTGGCAGTAGGGCAGAAAATGCCTCATGTGGCATTTCATTAGAGCTACATACAACCTGTTCAACAATTTGTTCATATAAAATCAACATTAAAAGATATAACTGGGTTGAAGTCTTTACTAAGCTGTGAAGTAATATTGGCAGTGGATTATTTTGGGGGGAAAGGGGTAGTAAAATTGCTCTGCAGTAGAGGGTAGGAGATAGTTAAATCTTTTACAGCCTTCTTTGAATAGCAGCTGGGTGAAATCCTTTATCTCAAGCCTCATTATATTAGATAATGACCAGGAAGCATCACTGTGTGTATTACCGGGTGATTAGTTTAGTATTACTCCTAGAATCATGATTGTTCCTTTATTACCATGTTTTTTTAATAAAGCACTTATTACATAAATGTTTTGGGTTGTGTTGCTCAGAGTAACTGAAATCTCTTTTTGATTACTTGTACATATTTAAAAAAAGATAATTAGTAAAATAGCCAAGATCAATGTGTTTTTCTTTTAGAGGCAGCTAAAGAGGGTGATACAGGTTAGGCTGTAGTTGTTTGTGTTTCTGAAGTTTGGACAAATTTTGGGCAAGATACAGATACAAAACTCTGATGCTGGTTATTTGTAGCTATTTACAAATATTTTACTTACAAAAACATTTGGAACAGGAAAGAGAGAATTTTCCTTCTCTAAAAGTTTTATTTTCCTTCATATACTGTGCAGAGCAAGAGTCTTATTAAGTTTTCCAGGTTCTCCAAGAGCTAATAGTTAAATGTTTTTATGTCAATTACTATTGACAGGAAGTCAGTTTGAACAGCATTGGAAAATGGAAGTAGTTGGCAGAACTGGCTAATTTAACTGAATTTCCTTTTGCTAAAAATATCTCTAAAAGAAGCTCTCCTTTTGGGACACAATGAATGCTTGTTTGACTGTAGTTGAGAACTGATGGTGACTCTTGTCCCTTAACCAAAAAGGCTTAAAAAATATGAATAACCTTTTGAAACATATTTGGCTTCCTCTGTAGTGTGTGTGATTATGCTTATGTCTGCCCGAAGTTTACATACATGCTTAACTTGATGTATGTGAGTAACCCCATCAGCTCGAATGATCTGCAATAGACTGAAAAGTTCCGTAGAGCTGCTTATGTGAAGTTGAGCATTTAAATTGTATACATGTTGGTAGGATTATGGAGTTCTGAGTGTAGTTGCCCTGTTGAGTTTTGTCATTAATGGGTGAAATGGAAAGGCTTTAGTCCTACAAACTGAAAGCAAGCAATATCAGATACATGTTCTCATTTATATTGCATACAAATATGTTAAAATTAATTTTAGGTAGGTTGCAATGGCAAATATTAGAAATTATAAAATGCTAGAAATAGGATGAGTTTCGTATAGTTGTTTAGGTCCTGTGCTGCCTCTGTGTTATGATGCAAGAGCACCATACTGTACTTGCAGCACAGCCCAGAACAGTTGTTTCACGGATTTGGCCATTCTGGGGGTAAGTCAGCAAGACTTACCTAGAGAGACTTCTTGCTTGGACTTCTTCCACTTGTGGAAGTTGGTGATGTGTGGCAGCTCATGGCCTTAGAGGAAGAGAAAGGATTGTCTCATGAATGCTGCCCTGGCTCTTGTACTTGCTGGGACTTTTTCTTCCTGACATAAAACAGAGAGGGGAAGAAGGGTTGCAGGGATGCCAAGAGTAATTTGTGTTGAGACACAGACATTGCTCATGGCAGAGGAGTTTACTGGTTCATGGAGTAACTGGGTGAAACCCAGCAGGTACCTGCTGGGTGGTGGGACTTCTGCTATTGGGAATTTCAGCCCCGGTGAGCAGGCTGGGGAAAAGGGAGATGCTGGTGTCTTAGAGGTGTCTTGGACTCTGGAGACATGAGGCATTTTCTTTGATGTGATTCCCCTGCATTAGCTGTTGTTGTGTGTCACCTGATAAAGGTCTCATCATAAGCTTTGCCTTTTTATAAGTGCTAGTTGTAGTCATTCTAGGTATTGGAGAATTGACATGGAAAGAAAAAGGCTAAACCATCTCAAGCTATTTTAAATACATTTTGCAGTCTCAAACAGTGATCAAAATCCTCAGTAAAGAGACAAAAATGACATAGGTGCAGTACATTTAACTGTTAGCTTTCTGTCAGTGAACAGAGAGTGTATTTTGAAGGCCTGCTGCACTGCGAGCTTGGCTCCAGGGTCAGTGTGTTAGGAAACCACAGCTGCCTGTGGCTTGCTTGCATGTTGCTGCCTCCGAACATCTTTAACTGTGAGGCCATGTTGAAGTCTCTGGTCATGACCCTTTGTATTGCTCTCAATTTTCTTTATATAAAACCCTAACTCCCCCTACAAGCCCCCTCACACATACACCTCCCCACCCCCCCGCCTTTTTTTAGGCACAATTATAGTAATTGCTAACAAAGACAGTGAAATGCATGCAGATTATTTGGAGCATGTGCACTACCGAGCTGCTTTCAGCAGTACTAATCTCCAGCCGTCTTGTCTTTCTGAGGCTCTTTCAAAACCTCCTTCAGCTGCTGTGCACATCAGCAATGAACCAAATCTCTTGGCGGGTCCTAAATGTGATTACACTGAAAGCTCATGAGAGCAGCAGCCCTTTGAGTATTTTGCACTTTCGGGACTTGATGTGGAGCAGTAGCTGTCTGGCACTGCTACGTTGGCTGAGTTTTCTGTGTGTTATCAGGATGTAGAAACTGTGTTCTAGATTCTTTGTGTTACCTTTCATACTGAAAATGAGTTGTCAGGCGTTTCAGGCTTTAGTCAGCTGTGGTTTTGCATTTAGAGTCGCTACGTTTTCTATTGCTGAAGTTTTTACGAGCATGTAAGATTACACAGTGCTGAGAACAAGTTTTCAAATATAATGTAGTGAGGTCAGTAATCTTGAGGACAGGTCAGGTTAATGGATGGTGTAAAAGCTGGGTGGGAATCTTAAGGATGTACTAAGAACCTGGCTTGTGCCACTTTAGAGAACCAAGCGTTGGAGAAAACATCTAAGCTAAAAGCTGTTGTTGGTGCTGCTAGCAAATGGCCATGGTCCTTCACAACAGAGTTGTCCAGAACACAGTACCTGGAGGCAGTAGGGGTTCTGATACCACGGGTTTTGTAGCACATGCTTTGTGACACTGCAGCAGTAATAAATCCAGGTGAAGGACTGGAAGCCACCTCCTGCGCGAGGCTCTCTTTGGAGCGTTGTTACTAAACAGCTTGATTTGCAGCTGAGGTAAAGTGGCTTGCCCTTTTTCCTTTCCTTAAATAGATTTTCTTCACTTGTTTTTTTCAATGTGCACAAATATATTGAGCAAAGTCTGCTCCTCTGTGTTGTCTGAGCACATGTTTATACTTGAAGGCAAGTGTACATAGCATAACCATGCAATTAAAAATAGTTGAATTTTGCTGGAAAAATGGCTGTATCCCTAGTACTTGCTGATGATTTAAGTATGCAAATGATTATTTAATTGATTTTGATTATGAACTTTAAGAACTTGTGCAGAAGCTGGAATGCTGGGGCAGTGACACAGCTCCTATGGAGGTTTTAAGGGTATTTTAACATAGCTCAGGTGGTTGTGGAAAGAAGGTATTCTTCTGAGATACACACTTTCTTCATCAGGGAATGTCGCAGGGAAAGCTGGTTCTAGGCTAAAAGGTGGACTAACATGGAGACATGAAATTATTGTTGCTATTCATTAACCATGTATTTTCTTCCACAAAGATACATTCAGAAACCTCTCCAGAGTATTCAAAGTGGTAAAGTTCTTGGGCATGTTGTGTTTTGTATTGAAACATGAAGCAAAGCTGCTTTCTGTGATACGTGATGATTTTGTTAAAATATAAAGGGGGCTCTATAGGTTTCAGACATCTGTTCACTTATTAGGCTTCACTATAATCAGTGAGGGGGAAAAATTCAAGATACTGTCTAAAGACATGTTATATCCTACTCTCATGAGAAATTCCTTCATAATTTTGCTTTTCTTGAAGCATAATATATTATTTCTTCTGAGGTTTCAGTTGGCTTTTTGGTAGGTTTATTTTAAAAGCTCTCATGTTTGCATCTTCAAAGCAGCGAAGATGGTGGCAACATTCTGCTTCACGTTAAAAGCAGAGCTGTGGTTCAGAGCTGCTCAGGAGGGAAGTCTGGAGGCAAAGTGTTCGTGTTACAGTTGCGTATTAGATTTCATTGTAGATCGAACTGAGACTCTTTGGTGCTGAAAGAATAAGCCTGTATGGGTTTGTTTGAAGAGGCAGGCACTTAAAATTACTGCAGATCTTTATTGACTGATTTGGCATGAGGGGGGAGAGAGATTATTCCTGTTGAGAACCAGAGTGTTATGCTGAGAACTAGCTAAGACGTAAGATGGTGACTCAAATGTAGTACTGAAAGCAGTGTTATGTTTAAGAACTGTAACTTTTCTTTGCTAATGTATACTAATTAGTATAGCTCTTCTACCATGGTGAGTCCTCTGAGCTGTGCGTGTAGTATTTTTGTTTTAGCGCTGGGTTTTTCATTGACAGTTGAAGAAAAGGACAAACTATTAACCTGGGTTACCGAGCACAGGCTTGATGTAGAAACATTCAACGTTTAACTGGAAGTTAAGTTTTGTATTTACACTAACTTTGGTTTCTCTTCTCTCTATGTTCCAGAAATATTAATACGGAGCATTTGACCACCTAATCTCCAGAGGAGACTCTCTTGATAGCAGGATTAGGCAAGAGTGCCTTCAGAACCAATATGTAGCAAATGGGTATCGCACCTCCGAAGCTCCTCCCTTGGTTCAGCGCTTGTGTGTTTTAAGGATCCTTGTTGCTTCAGCAGTGAATTATTCTTGTGAACTTCAGAAACGGATTTCATGTGGTGCTTGCTAAACATTGAGTCACCATGAGTAGTAATCTAGGAAAAGAAAAAGACTGTAAAGAGAAGGATCCAAAAGTCCCATCATCAAAAGAAAGGGAGAAGGAGGCCAAAGCCTCTGGAGGATTTGGGAAAGAGAGCAAAGAAAAGGAGCCTAAGACCAAAGGGAAAGATGCCAAAGATGGAAAGAAGGACTCCAGTAGCACGCAGCCTGGGGTAGCTTTTTCAGTGGACAATACAATAAAAAGACCTAATCCAGCCACAGGTACCCGCAAAAAATCCAGCAATGCTGAAGTGATCAAAGAGCTAAATAAATGCCGGGAAGAGAATTCAATGCGCTTGGACTTATCCAAGAGGTCTATACACATGCTTCCATCAGCTATCAAAGAGCTAACGCAGTTAACAGAACTTTATTTATACAGTAACAAACTGCAGTCCCTCCCGGCAGAGGTGGGCTGTCTTGTGAACCTGATGACACTGGCGCTGAGTGAAAACTCACTCACCAGTTTGCCTGACTCTCTTGATAACTTGAAGAAGCTGCGCATGCTTGACCTGCGGCATAACAAACTTAGAGAAATCCCTTCGGTGGTGTATAGGCTAAGCTCTCTCGCCACTCTTTATCTACGCTTTAATCGTATAACTACTGTGGAAAAGGATATCAAAAACTTGTCAAAGCTCACCATGCTTAGCATACGAGAGAACAAAATCAAGCAACTACCTGCTGAAATTGGTAAGCGATTGCACTGACTGAAAGTTCAATTCTGTGCTTATGTTCGGGTTGCAGTTCGGTGATGTATGTGTGAACTACCACTTCTCCAGCTGCCCTTCTTCATTTAGAGCTTCATGAAATTATGCTCTTGATCATATTGCAGTGTTAGCTTATACTGAGATTAATCAATGCCTTGGATATTTTTCTTACAAACATGCCCTTTTTCTTCATCTATCATCTTAAAATCACATGTATCTTGTTTTCATCTTTGCCTTGTGCTTTCACATATTGTGTCTTCAGAGCCCAGATGGTTTAACAAGTACAAAAAAAAAAGATACAGGGGCATATTTCATTTTAAGATTTCTTTATAAATCATTTATGAACTGTTGCAAGTTATAAACACATTATGGGCATGTTACAGAGGGGTGTGACCATGGTAATACAAGGTAGAATAGGTAGCTACATGCTATTACCGTGAGCAAGCTGTTGGATGCTGTAACAGTTAATAATGTAGGTTAATGATTTGTGAAAGCCTCTACCTTTTCTAAGTCATGAATATATTAATACACAGACTCTTAATACAAAGTGACCAAATGTTGTATGCATGGCTGATGATTCTTACGACTTTTTAATGACTATTTGTTTTTCTCAACTTTGTTGCAAAAGTTTGTGAGATGATGAAATAGTATGAAAGTGGCTTATGAATTGAAATAGGTTATTACAAAAAAAAAAAAAAGTGCTGCAATAGCTGTATATCAAGAACTCAAGTTGTTCCTAATAGGTTCTGCTTCATGGAAAACATCTCTTTATCACACTGTTCTCAAGCAATATTTGGACAATGTATGTGCCTCATAAAAGGGCTATTTGTCAGTGTGCTTTTTCCTATGTATCACCAGTTTCTTAAATGCAAGCATAGCTTAGTCCCTTTAGGGAAAGGGAGATCATAAAACTTAATGCAGTTGACTGCTTCAACTTTCTTCGAGTGTGGAAAAAACCCTTGTAAAAGCCCTTGTAACACTGTGAGTAATAATTCCTGTGCCCTGTTTTTAAAAGCTGATGCAGGGCTTTTTCCTGTTAACCAAGCCAGTGCGTGAGTATGTGAAGTGTTACAAGTTGGCCCCTGTGCTCACTAATTTTGCAGAGCTTGGGAAATGCTCTTGCGTGGATCCCTAATAGATCTTTACAAGCCAGCAGTGTTTGCCTCTTTTTCCTGCACCTTGATATGAAAAGGAACATAAGATAACATGCTCCTGGTGGCAGGAACTCCTGAGCACGTCTGAACTGCTAATCATGGTACCAGCAATGACACACACTCAGCTGTTGGTCTGAGTGTTTGGCTCCCTGTAGCAGCTGTTAGAGTGGATTCTGCTATAGCCACAGAAACACTATTTTGCCAGGCAAAAATTAAATGGTTAAAGTAGTATGTTTTCTGATCAACACGGTCCTTGTTTTGTCATGTGCATCTCAACAATCCTGAGGATTTCCCCTGGGAGAAAAGAGGAATTACAATTTTGACCTGTTTTGACAGTTCAGTTTAAGTCCAACAGCCTCTTTGGCTCTTTTACTCATCAAAGAATCATCCTGGAAACCATGGGGCTGATGTCCACAAAAAAAAAAAAGCCCAACATACCATGTGTTTCTACATATGTTGAGGAAATTGTGGCTGATTTAGCCGTCTGAGCTGTATTGCAGTTGTCAGTGCTTTACCTGGGTCTGTTTGTGGCTCAGTTTTAAAATGTAACTTAGCAAAGAGTCAGTTTGGTGTTTTCCTTTAGAAACTTTTTGTAGGTGTATTTGGCACTGCAGACATTATTGTTGCTGCTGGAACATCTTTGTTTCTTAACCGTTTTGTTTGTTGAATTCCTATGGTTAACTTTACATTAAAGTATGTAATTTCTGTATGTATTTGTTCACAATAGTCTTGAAAGAGCTCATGTCTAACAGCTTTATGGAGAAATTTAGTAGATATATGTATAATGAAGGATGACTGTGATTTGCCTCGTTTGTATTATTCTTGTCTTGGTACACATACAGGCAGTGTTCTCAGTTCTCTATCAAACCCTAGCTTGAGAAAATTAACTACTTCTGTCTTTGTATCCAGCAGTTAGTTGTGCCTTTATTTGTACTGTCATAGTGCCCATATTGCTTGTTACGGGTCAGCATCTTGTTGTGGAAGGCATTTTAGAAGCCCAAGTGCAAGATGACTGTCACCCCTAGAAGAATTTTTGAAGGGAAATCACAATGTTCAACAGCATCCTGTTTTATTCCAAGTAAATTTCTCTAACTAGGTTACCTGAAATTGCATCAGTTGGAAAATAAATTCATTAAAGGATTTCTAAGTTCAAGTAACACAAATAATTTTAACTGCCAAGACTTAGAGACAGGCATTGGAAAACCTTTTCCTCCAGTAGTCAAAGCAGACAGTAGTGTCACTTCTGTAATTGATTTCTACTCACTCACTTTCATCTATTTTTGTTGTCTACAAAGATGAAATGTTTGAGTTGGAAACACAGCTGAAAAATGAAACTGCTGAGAAATGTATTTCTTACTTTCCGATGGAATTTCTCTGTTTCTTTAAACGTTTGTTATTTCTCTACATATCACACGCACACTTTAGAACAAACTTGCCTTTTAAGTCCCAATGATTTTAGTCCCTTGTCTGTTTATAACACAGTTTCTAAATACTACATACAAGCAAATACTCTTATCAGCTTGTAAACAACACAGAAATTTCTGTTGCTGCAAAGCGGGAAGTAAAATGAGGCCATTATCTTTTATAAAGCAATATCATGTGGAGCATTTCAAATTCTTGTTAAAAATACCCCACTGTTCCGGGGCCTAAGGCTCACATATCTGAAGGTAAACTAGTGTGCTTGTTCATATGTTTAAAGATCCAAAGCTTGTGTAACCTGCTGACTTGTCCACCAAGGAAGAGGCTTACAGCAGTTAGCTGTGATGTGTTCATGTCCCTCATCTGGTATGCAGCTATGTGAAGAATCCTGGGTTTCTTTACTTTGTCTTTTGGGGGTAATGTGCTACAAAAGGTTGTCCTGGACAAAACCAGAATTAAACCCCCAGACTTCAGCTTGAAAGCTGCGATGTTGCCTCTGTTCCCTCAAAGAACCACAGTCAAGTATGATGGAATAAAAGTCTTACCCTGGTGCTAGAGCCTTGTTATGGCTTTTGCTACCACTGAGCGCAAAATACCAGTTTTGTGTAATTATAAGAAGGCTTTCCAACTTTAGGACCTTGCTGTTTTAAAATAAAGGTTCACCCGATTTGTAAGCAATAATCCCACTTAAAGATTCCTAGAAAAGCAATTAGTCTCCAGCCTTAGAAAATAAACTTAATTTTCCTTCTACTGTCATTGAAAGAAATTGGAAGTGGGTTCTGGAGTCCTGAGTGCTCTGATATTTGAGATCTTTCTTCCAACACCCAGCATGTCTATGAGTAGTTCGTTTTTGTGCCAGTGATGTTTCACTGCTCTTAGGTGCAGCAGTTTCCCTCTGTTGCTTACATTTGCTCTCCCACTATATGTGCTGACAGCAGGCATATCTTCTCCCAGCCATTACTCAGACCCTGATTTTTAATCTTGCATAAAATCTCCATTCCTTCTGTCACCCCGCTATCCATTTTCTGTGTTGTCTTATGTTTTGTGTGCTGAGCATGCTTGATTAGTTTGAATATACTATTCCAGATGAGAGTTTCTCTCATCTGGATCATACTGGAACTGCTTTAGACTTATACAAATGCTCTTGAGACCACCTAAGACACCTGCACTCCACCCTCTGTGTTCTCCCTCTCCACCAGAAGTCAACCCTGAGATCCTGGTAGAAATATACGCTACTAAATTTCATAGTTTCCATTATTTTTAGTTACTTATTTTGTCCAATGCCTCTGGCTTGCTAGATAGCCCTTGCTTTCTAGTTCATTGCTGAAGACACTCTACGAGGTTTGTCTTGAGGTGGATTCTTAGGAGTCCTGGAGAGGTAACCTCCATCCAAGCTGATATTTTACTTTCAGTCCTGCTACATCCATAGCAAGTTGTAGTCAATTCCTTGGGTATCTTGACATCATCTTGTAGTCACCTGAGTCTCCTAGTTATTTTCTGCATGCTACTACATCGGATATCTTCATGCAATCTAGGTTGACTAGATTGAATAAACTAAATCTTTCATGGTTTTAGAAACAGAAAACCAATTAACTCTTTATGACAAACTAGTTTTACATTTCACTGATTTTTTTTCAAATCACTTTTTATTTGCCTGTTTTCAGGCCTTTTACTTACATGCCATTCGTTAATGTTTCCTGCAAATTCTGTCGGTCTACACAGCCTTTAGATGGTTCTGAGGTCATCAGAATCACTGCTCACTGTGCATGCAACAGTATTGTTAGAAATAGATTCCTTTTAGGGAAACCTGAAACTAACTTGAAAACATTTCTTAAAAGCTTGAGTGAAGATAAAGAATTTAACAGAATGTTCTTTGCAGAACCCATAGCTGGTCAGATTTTAAGTGGTCCTGGAAACTGCATTAGAGGAACTGATCTGTTACAGTGTGTATGGTCTTGAGGAAAACTTAGAAGGGCTGAACCTACCAGCACTTTGCTGCTGGGAAGTAAGCAGCACAAACTTAAATGAGGTGACTACACTGGGGGAAGAGTTGCTTTGCATTAAAAACAAAAGTTCTGGTGAGAAAGAGGAAGTGTTATTATCTATAGTTTAGTAAACAGATGTGTGTGTTTCTGGTCTTTTTTCCCCTCAGAAAGCAGTACTTCTCATTACCTCGCATCCAGTTGGTTTATCATAGGTTTCCTGTCTTTTCAATATTTAGAAGGCTTCTTAATGTTAAATAGTAATTTACTCAACTGAACTCACTCAGTAAGCCAAAAAACTGAAGAAAATATCTGTAATTTGGAAGAATATTCTTTTAGTAACTTGGCAAATCCGGGCTCCAGGTACCTAACAAATAATTTCTACTAGTCATTTACTGGACTTCTCTTAACCCTTTTCCAGCAACAAC